CTGTCTAATTTCGTGAGTCTTTGGCTCAGACAAGAATAAAGATCCTTCACAAAACTAGCCGTTAGAAGAATAATAAACTCTTTTTCCTGTAATAATGGTATGTTTTCAGGGCTATTTTCGTCACTACAGTGATTTTTATTTTAAGCTCCAAATGCATCTTTTTCAGTAAAGTAAATCTGAAGGAAAGAGGAGGATGAAGAAGAAGCAAACCGGTTCTTTTAAATCCGGAATCTCTCCACAGAACCGAACCGAACCAAAAAACTTGAAACCCTTTTTATGAAGCAATCATTGACATAGAAAAATATCTTTACTAAATCATTCTGCTTTGTTTTCTTCGACAGATTCAAATTACGTTTTTAATCTTATCTGATAAAAAGTAAAAAAATTCGGTACGCAGAGGTTGGATCTCTCTGCAGATAAAAAACATTTTTCTTTTTTTTTTTTCAATCAAAATTATTTGTTGAATTTAAGAGTTTGGGACCTGGTAATAAATTTCAGGTTAATCCAAATAAAACAAGAATTGATCAAACGAATTAATTTTTCACCTAAATAATAACGGCTACTTGTCTACTTAAGAGACTGTCTAATCAACCAACGGCTACTTGTGTGACTGTAAAGCTGAAGAAGAAGAGTCTTTTTGGGCCTCCCACAATGTCCATAAGATTTATAAGGGCCCATATTGAGCCCACTAAGAGAAAGGAGATATAAGCAATCGGATCAGTGGTTTAATCTCCCAAGCCGCAAGTTAGAGACTGCGACGGTGTTTCCTTGTCGCCGGAGCCGGAGTTTATCAGTCAACCTCCACCGGAATTTCTCAGTTTATCTCAGTTTTTTTTTTGTTTCTTCGTCGCGGCTTCGTCGCTCGCTTGTGTATTTGGCAGAGTCAGGGCCTTTTGCGCAATCGCCATTTCCGATTTACACCGAGTACACATCTCTGTCGATTGATAATTTAAGCATCGATTTGAGGTTAGTCGCATAATTCCAGTAGTGTAATTGATTTTTTTTCCCTCTGATTTGATGGTCGTGAACCTGCGATTTTTCGTCATTTCTTAGTCTTCGATGGGAAATGAATCCAGCTTTTGATCGTTAGATCCATAGTTTGATTGTTTGTATCAACGCTTGTAATATTTGATGGTGATAGGTTTAGTTCTTCCATTTCTCAATTTCTTAGCCAAATCTGTGGCTTCTTGTGTTTTGGGTGTTGACAAATTAAATCGAGGTTTTAGGTTTCTTGTTTCTGCACTCTTTAAAGCCTTAACCCCTGTAAATTTAGTTCACAGAATTCAGTAAACTATTTGATGGTGATAGGTTTTGTTCTTCATTGATTGATTAGGAAAGAATTTGCAGGTCTTGGGAGGAAAGATGAACAAGTTGCTGGAATATGGGAGAAAAGCTATGTTTTATGTGAGAGTCCTTTCTGGGTATGAAGAAAGGAGAATCCGGAATTACAGGTTGCAACTTGAAAAGCGTATACAGCAGGTTTTTTTCTTTCTTTCTCACCATGCGGCAATCTATTGTCTTTGAAATGAATGGTCGAATAAGATGAAGAAACCTTATATCTCTGCTATTGGATTTTAGTTGATCTCGTATATATTTTGGAGAACTCTTTCTTATTGACTTTGAGGATGAGAAATGGAAGAAATTTTTAATGTCTGGATAAATTATCCATGTTTATTCTTTGTGAAAACTAAAGATGGAAACTGATGGCTGCCTGATTTTATGTATGCAGGATTTGTAGTTTATGATTATCTTAATACAAATTGTAGTAAACTTTAAAGTTTGTATTTTAGAAATAATAATTCTGCTCAATATTAGTAAAGAGTGACCGATTAAATAAGATCTTCTTCACGATTTCTAATCATATGGACTTTGGCTTTTTATCTGTTCAACAATACTTATGACTTCTAGAGGTTGGTCATGGTTACCTTTTTATTTGATTCAAATGATGAAAAGGATGGTAACCTTTGGCTTTGCAGGCCCAACAAAAGAGAGCAGAGATAAACAAACTACCAGAGCAGATTATATTATCTGAAGTCCGCCGTATGGTTGACGAGATGCAGAATTTGAATAAACAGATGGAGGATACGGTTAGTCTCTTGTCTTTGTTCTCAGTCCAAACTTTGCAAATGATTTACTTTACTCCCATTAAGTTCTTCGTTTGCTTTATCAACAATATATATATACTGTGGTGTAAATGTTTGAAGATCGTGTTCTTCAAGTGTTTTGGGTACCGAAATATTCTAGAAGGGAAAACGCTTTTAGTTTCTAAGTGTTCAGGATTCTTAAAGGATTAATTTTTGGAAGGAAAGAGCAAAAAAGTCTGAAACAAATCTTTAATCCCCTTTTATTCTGCTTTTGTCTGTGTTAGGAGAATTTCAAAGTCTAAGTTTGTTTCAGGTTTGATGGTAGACACATTATTCTCGTAGTCTAAGCCATATTGGCATTTCTCTACCAATACAGGAGGCTAAGATTGAAGACTACTTCAAACCGATAGACAAGCATGCTGGTACCATAATGGAGATTCAGCTCGAAAGTGAGAAGAAAACGATGGGGACAATGATGACTGCAACACAACAGGAAACCATAAGAAAGATTGAAGAAGCTGAGAGACTTGCTCGGGAACGTGGAAATGCAAACGTTGCTGCAGATGCAAACACGGGAGAGGAGATTCAGGATTCAGAATCCTCAGCTAGTAAAAAGACTCAAGCAAGGTAAAAGACTTGGATTATTGTCTTCATGTTGACACAGATTAGATTCAGAGTCTCTGAACACTCCAAGGTTTCAGATCGCAGCTCAACATTTGTTGGGTTTTAATAATTTCGAATTTGGTTGTGATCTGTCTAGTGTGGAAGAATTTATAGAGGTGGCTCTGGTTGGACTATCCCAGAACGGCCACATTTTGTTTATACAAGTTTTCTTCATAACCAGATTTCTGATTTTCTTTTGGGTGATACTTTTGATAGAAAACAGCTTTAGTTCCCCAGTTTTTGGGTGACATTTTGTCTATCACTTACCACTATAGAAGTCCCCAGTTCGATATTAACTTATTGGCAAGCTCATAGTTATACTCGTGCATAAGAAAACAGCTTTAGTTCTCAAGATCGGAAGTTTAGTGGGAAGATATGTAGTTTGCTTCAGATAAGATATCAACTGTGTTGTTTTTCAAGACCTGATCCTAAGCTTGTAGTTCGACACACGTGTACAGAAGCTGCTTGTTACCAGGATATTGCATTACTCGATAAGAAATATGACCTCAAATCAAATCACAAGTTTCCTTTCTCTTTCTACTGAAACCTTACGTCATATAATTTCTGAGTATCTAAGCATGAGACTTTGTTCTAACACAAAGTGAGTTTTTTCTTTTTACTTGCTTTGGGAGTGAAGAAATTCACGCATCTGATTGTGAATTTCGGATTTCACAACGAGTCGCATTCTCTTAGAGTCTTCCCAGAGAAGGCCTCTCCATTCTCGAGCAAAGTCACAAGCTGCTTCAAACACATCCTGCCAAACAAAAAAATTTACACAATTTCAAGTAATAAGACTTACTATAATGGTTTTCAGATATGTAGAAAGATTTTACTG